CTATCATGACAGTTTTACAGTTTCCACCGAGAGAGAACTTGAGCAATCGCGTGAGTTTCGAGTTGCGGTATGGGATGTGGTTGCGCTTTCGGGGGTCACACAGGGCGTTGATACAGCTTCCCAGCGCGAGTAGGGATTTGTTGATGTTGGCACCCTCCGTCAGACGCTCTCCGCGGTTCTTCGTAGCGCTCGCGCGCTCACTACCTGCCAAATCGATGATGCTGAGGGTAGCCATTGTGTGGGGTTCGTTGACCGAGGCATTGCGATCCTTGGAGGACACGTTGATCTGGAGTACGGCGTGGGATCGGGAAGAGGTAGCGTTCGCTTCGGTAGGTGACATGGTTCGGTACTCGTTGCCGCGGACAATGATATCCATGACTTCTTGGACCTGTGGTTGTTAGACGCCTGTCGTGCAGTGTATCCCTCCTACTTACGCTCTGTGGTCGGTGGCTGGAAAGACCAGCGACAGATACAGCCTGGTTGGCATCCTCGCGGAGCATCAGGGGTTGTTTACTGCCGCCCTCTACAAGCAAGTCGCGAATTGTCTCGTTGTAGATTTCCAGATAGGAGAGCGTGATCTCGGTGACCTTTTCATCTTGTATGTCCTGGATCTTCTCGAACAGTTCTTGCATAGTCAAAAAGATAATGCCGGGCTGCTGCGATGTTCCCCTGTTGGAAGGTTAGTCCTGCTGCGAGTAACTAGCGGTGTACATGAACATACGTGATAGTATGTGTCTTTCCGCAACCTGTGGCGCCATAGGCAAAGACAGTCGCGTTGTATCCATCCAGCACACTGTCCAGCAGGGGCTTCGTCGTGGCTTCGTATACGTCGCCCTGGGAGGTAGTGTCGTCGAAGACGCGGTCGAATGCGAATGTCTGGTCCTTTGATCGCTTGCCCTGGGGTCCTATCGTTGATCGTCCAAACCGTTGAACAGCGTTATCTTCTGGAGGGTCGAAGATTCTGGTACAGGTCAGCCCTCATGACTTGAACAGATATGTGACGTCTCATACAGGCACTTCTCGTCCATGACCTTGATGACAGGCCGGATGCCCTTGTGGAGCTTCGGCGCTGGCAAGCCCGCCAGCGAACCGTCTCCGAGGAACAGCGTTTGGTCATCGTTCCTCGTGACTTGGGCTGCCTCTCGGATAGTGAAAGGGCGGACTCGTACGGTGACGGAGATGGAAGACGCGCCCGCGGCGGCCATGATTGCGCCCAAGAAATGAAAAAAAGCAGGTCAATCGCACTGCGCAGCCTCCTTTGAAAGCGTGGGGAACAGCCGCGAGCGAGGGTTTGGTGTTGCGGGCTGGAGTGCTCAATGACGATGTTCCAGCCGGAACTTCTGTTATGGGACGCACGGCCGCTGGTAAACAGACAGGGATCTAAATGCGGCAACCACGACCCTGCCGCCAAGAATGCGCTCTTATCCCCACAATTTCCGACGTGGCTGCGACACCACACGCCACATCACCCTCTGTCCTGCCAACGGGTGCACCCGACTGTCTTGCTACCATGAATGCGAACTTCGCCGACTGTGCGATCCCAGAAAAGTACCGCCATTATCCTCCCTGTTTGGCAAGCCCTACTCGCTCGTGTCCTTGGTCCTGAGTTGCGTAAAGGGGCAAGTGGAGCATCACAGCATGTGGAGAGTGAAATGAGAGATGCGCATCTCATAAAAGGATTCAACTATCATGCAAACATCAAACATGCGTCCGGCATATCTTCGTAAATTCCATTCCACGACTAACACCGCCTCCACCTCAAGTCCTCAACCCGCACCACCCATGGCCCATTCACACTAATCCAGCTGATCCAATGTCTCGGCCTACATCAACCGCAATCAGTTTCTACTGCTTGGGTGGTGTGCACTTCTGCCACTGCACGTACACGACTTGGGTGAATTTGAGATCGGTAGAGTCAGTGGTGAGGAGACCAGTGGCGCTGGCGTTGCTGCTGGTCAGGCGGACCTGCGAGTTGATGTTGAGCATGCCGTTGGTGCCGCATGGCGCCCACACGACCGAGGTGCTGTCCGCCTCGTCGTGCTTGAGGTAGTCGCCGTTTGTTGGTCCGTCGAACTTGTACTCAGTCGAAGTCTATCTCAGGTATCAGCATATTTGGTCCACGCCATTGGAGCTTGGATAAATCTTACCTGAGCAGTGTCTCCGGAGAAGTAGTAGGTAGACTTGAGAGTGCCAGAGACACCCTTCTGGATGGCAGAGTAGCCACGGTAGTCGGCGGACAGAATGGAGTACTGGAAGCCTCCTGGGTACTCAATGTCGACGTTGAGCTGGCAATTCTTGCGCTGCTCAGTAACGGCGATGCCGGGGCCGATCGAGGCGATGTACGCGTCGAAGATGAGCGTCATGACAGTCCTGTCGCTGTTGATCTGGGAGCTCATGGTGCCTTGCGGGCAACCGGTTCCTCCATAGCTGACACCGCGAATCTTGACCTGTGTTGCGTGAGCTGATCGTCTCGGAAATCCTCCATCTGCGCTTCTCGTACCTGACCGGGTGGAGGGGCGTCACCAAGCTCGACATTGGGGAACGCAGGGGCTGCTGCCGCGAGGGGAAGGAGAGCAAGGAGCCACTTCATGTTGATAGTTTGGAAAGACGGTCTTCGGAGAAGGCTAGATGTAGAGCTGATAATGTGGTAGATGAAACCGAGAGTAGAAGCTGGATGAGGATCATGGAAGGGAATATGCACCAGGTTATATACCAGTCCCTCGGCGCCAGCTCTTTACCTTTGATTGTCTTGACCACTGCCGCGGCAACACCATCTTGGGCGATATCTACAGTCCGACCACGATAACAGCTGCCAAGTGCCAATGGCACTATCGAGTACGATTGGACCGGCGGCCCGCTCGTGCTCATAGGTCCAGAATCGCAGAAGTTGCTCAGCTGAGTTCGTGTCGTCCGCTTAGCTGAAGTATTGTTCCGTGTGGATACATTCTGAGCCAGCCTCCAGGCTAAGTGTCGGTATCTGGGGTATGCGATAGTCTCGTTCCGCCGTGCATCTCGCTTCCAGCTGCAATCCTAACCCGAATCACAGCAACGGAGCATCTTCATTTGAGCTTTCCCGGCGCGAGGAGATTGAACCCTGAATTGTGGCGGCTCTTTGAATATCGTACGTCTGCGCCACCAGGTGGTGCAGTATGCGTGAAACTCTCGGCATCACCAATGCCAATGTCTTTTGGCGAGGTTTGCTGACATGCGAGTATCACGAATTCTTGCACAACTTGGTGGCGCCGTATGCAACCTACCCGGAAACCGAGTGCCGGCGGTACAGCTGCTGAAAGTAAACGCACATTCGTCGCGTGGGCATATAGATTCTCTTGATAGCGAATACGAAACCCAGACTCGCTGTCAACGAGGTATATCGTGGTCATTTCATATCAGATGACAGCTAGGGTACCAAAGTCTTTTTGCGCAAGCGAGTCGCTGCGGGTTTGAGCCGTTTCCTCGCATAGATTTTGGCTAGCCCAGTGGATGTAGATATGAAAGCGAGATGAGTCGAGCGTATTTGCCTAGGGTGCAGAACTCAGAATAGAAACGCCGGGCCTGGATGCTGGGTATAGGCAGTCCACGAAGCTGACCGAGAAGCAAACAAGCTCATCCGGATATTGTCTTTCATCTACAGATCCTGTATGTAATGCAGCAACGGAACATGTGCGGAAGCGAAGACTGAAAATAGTTTCCCTGCCTGGAAGGAGCGGCATAGTACTGCGAGGGTATCGTGGACGTCCAATTCGAAAGATCTGGAGAAGTGAGGAGTTCTTGGCGCGTAGATTAACCTTATATTAAAGCTTGTCGTTCCATCGGTGCTCGAGGCCCTGCCTTGATCAATTTTAGCGAACGCGATTTGCTGCCCTTGCAGATGTGAGGTCTAGAGATGCATCTAAAAATAATCTTAGAAGAGTTAGTCAAGTGCATGCATCAAACAGCTGTTGGACGCACGTGGTGACTCGGAGCGACGCCACGACCAAGGATGCATCGTATGAGCCTAGATTCAACTACTGCCGGTTCAGCAACGCGGGATGTAACCGGTGCAAGGCTTCCAGGCGAAATAGATTGAGAATTGATTACGCGCATCGTGTCGGGGTGATTCGACCAAAGCTGTCAGCCGGACCTGACTTGGATGGTAGGACTATGGGACTGTCAGTTGAATGCGAAAACAGGAAGCTGACTGTGTATGCTTGATACACGACATTCGTAAAGCTGTACGTGCAACTATGAGCTGAGAGGGCGTCCGGTACTACAAGAGAGGGAACGAAGAGACCTCTCCATGACACTAACGCGAGTGTAATAGAATCCACGTCCCGGTCCCGCCGCTTATACGTCCCGTTTCACTCCAGCCTACTGCGCAGTGTTTTCCCGAGAGCGCAGGATGGGTCCGCTGGGACATAGCCGAAATTTCCAAGAGCGCGTCCTTCGAACAGGCAACGCTACAGCTATGGATCAAGTAGCAAAGAAGCAGGACATCATGCAACGAGCAGTGCTGGAGGATTCGAGCCTGTGTTGATGCCGAAAGGCTGCAGAGACATCGGCGGCGACTTGCCCGGGTAAAGACAAGTAGCGGGGCGAGCAGAACAGGCGGCACGCGAATCTCGTCAGATAAAAGAACACTTCGATGCGTCAAAGAGAGCGTGCACTGCTGTTCAGGACGTCCGTAATGTGTGGGAATGTGTGATCAGGAAGATGCACGAGTCGGGCGTTCCCACCTTCGCGAAGGAGCGACCCCGCCGCCACCCATGTGGCTGAAGCGTGGCCGTGGACCCTTCGATTTGTCACGCCAAATGATGGCATCATCGCCGCGGTCCATTGCCCTTTTCCCAATCGAAGCGGCAAACTTGCGATACATAATAACTCACCACCAAAGTAAACCTCTCTCTCTTATCACACACTTTACTACCACCAAACTGAAGCTCCTCACGCTCCTCGTTTTGGTCATCACGTCTTACCTTTCCATGTCCTTTCTGACTAAATTCTTTCGCCCCTTCAGCAGTATGTCGAATGCGCCCGCGCAACCCATGAACGTGCCTTCGGGCGCGCAAACCGCCACTGTCGCTGCCGGATGTTTCTGGGGTGTCGAGCACATGTACCGGAGAGAGTACAAGGGAAAGGGCTTGTACGATGCGAGGGTTGGATACATCGGTGGTGACACAGACAACCCAGGGTACAGGGCGGTATGCAGCGGACGCACTGGTCGTACGTATTCCTCGATTTTGTTGCGCCACGAGGCGTGACGGGACATCTGAACACTAGCTGACTGTCAATCCAGACGCCGAAGCCCTGCAAGTCGTCTACGATCCCGAAAAAGTAACCTACCGTTCCCTCCTCGAATTCTTCTACAAGATGCACGATCCCACCACCTCCAACCGCCAAGGTCCAGACGTTGGCAGCCAATACCGATCCGCCATCTTTTACCACGATGCCGAGCAGGAGAAGATTGCGCGAGACGTTACCGACAAGGTGAACAAGCAGTGGTGGAAGGGAAGCGTCGCAACAGAGATCCTGCCTGCAGGGAAATGGTGGGATGCGGAACAGTACCACCAATTGTACTTGGACCACAACCCGGGCGGCTACGAGTGCCCGAGCCACTTCTTGAGGAGTTTCCCGCCGCTTTCCGACTAAGTTGGGATAAGATACAACGGTATACACGCGTCCTATCTAGAATGACATGTCCCACGGAGAAAACACCTTGTTCCATTTATCGCGATGCGTCTGACGGCCTTGATGATTATGATGAAATTCGTATATTCACGCTATCGAATATGTCTGTCTATGAAGGTGGCATGACCTCGAATGTCTGCGCAACCTCCTTCTCCCACGACAAGCGGTCCTTGCCAAAGATCTCCGCACCAGGCTTGAAGTTCTTGACACCTTCGTCCAACAATCCTGTCCTCAGAACAATGCTGTCGGGGCCGAGGGCCTCCTGCTCGTGGTACACGTGTGAGGTGCAGTTCTTGCAGTAGAACTATCAAGACTCGTTAGTGAATGCTCTCTTCTCCACTTCCATGGGAACTCCAGGGGGTGACATACGCAATGAACGCTCTTTCCAGAGTCACCCTTGTATGTGTATTTGCCTAGATCATCGCCCTTGGTGATCTTGAGGGCTTTCTTGGGGATGATCTGATTGAGCGTGTACGTGGAGCCGGAGAGCTCTTTGCAAGTGTTGCAGTGGCTAATCGATTGTTAGCTTGATCCTGCAACGAATTGTTGTTATAGGAACAGAATGACACTACTCACCATAGGATGTGTGCCTGCTGATCTTGCTGCAGGGTGGCAGTCCACTCTGTCTGCTTGCAATGGCAATGTCCCTTGAAGTCCGTCATGATGATCTGATTGGTCCTCCTAGTTATCCGTATTGAGTTTAGATGTCAAAGTATGTAAGGGAGAATGGACAACAAGGTATTCGAGAAGCGGTAGACATTTATATAAAGCCTACCTTGGACCCAGCGCTCGTTGCTTAACTGGAATCCCCGCCCCTCCACCCATTTAGCGTGATCCCTCCCTCATGCGGTCTGGAAATGCCAGCGTATCGGCAGCTGTGTTCTGCATCCCGATGCGGGTATTTGTCAAAGAGTTGTTGCATTAGCGGCTCCATGGTACATGATATCAGGGATGACGTTGTATGCGCCCACGGTTTATCAGTCGGGAGTTGACGCGTCGACGTATCCCGGCTCTTGACTTCTGGATCTATACAAGTCCGGCAACTAGGCCTTGGGCCATACTATGCGGCTCAGGATTGTCTTCCCAAGATAGGAAGAGTGATGGTCCGGAAGCAGTGGTCGCTTGGGGCTGCATGAGGGGTAGCATGGACTCGCGTTGCGATCAACAGCGCGAGCCGCAATGACGTAAGCGGGGCAGCTCCCTACTCTGGCACTGGCTGGAGACTACATCCGATGAATTGATGTAGAAAGTGACGTAGTCATATTTGGTTGGAATTTGAGTTCTGATGGTGATGGCGAAGGGCTTAGCGGGCCGTGGATGGAAGGAAGGAGCCTCCCTTGACAATTCCCAGGCTGGCGCGATCAGGCGCGTAAGTTTCGCGCTTGAGCGACCAGAGCGCTGTCTCATCACTTGTACCCATGCACAACATGCTTTCAGATTCTGCGTCGCAATTAGCTATCCTTCTGCGATACAATGCGCCCTGGCTTTTCTTTTAACTTAGCTGTGCAGGTCGGATGCAGCGCGGCCAACCTCCTCGCCAAGGCATCCTTACTGACCTTCTGGCAACGGAAGGAACGACGAAGTTCAATTTCGACCAAGCGCGAAGGACGTCTGTATGCGCCTAAATCACTTTGACTACACGGAGGATCATTTGAAGTCGTCTCGGAACAGCACCATGACTCCAGCTCCTATCTTTTCATCACGCGATACTATTGCAAAACCACCAATGCTCAACCATACCTTCTAATGCGAATTTAGACTGCCTTTCCGTCCTAAGTTTATGACCAACGAATGCGCCCAGGTTTGCGAAGCTTACTGCGTCTAGCTCGTAGCTTATTTCCCCGCATTCCAGCGAAGATCCAGGAGATCGTATACCTCATCTATTCCCGGACCGGAAAACCATCTGGTCGGCTCGGCGCAACGCATGCCGAGCGCTCTATAGTACACAAAATGGTGTCGCAAATCTTCCAAGAACATGTAATAGGAAGGCACAACCTGTTGCATCTTGAGGACGACTTGAGTCGGTACAATCATGCGTTGGCTTACACCTTTAGGGACCGTTGTTGCGTTGGCGACACTACCTTTGTATGCTCTGGCTGCGACCTGTTGGCGGGATACGGAATGCAGCGGACCTGTTGAAGCCGCATTCAAAGGTACCTATTCTATCAAACTCGTACTCAATTTTGCAATACTGATAGATCAGGCCCATGGAACTCTAACATCTACGCTCCCTCATCGCGAACAGTCCGTCCAAGATCAGTTTTTACGATCCGAGACCGTCATCCAGCCAGCTATCCACGTCTCGTCGTCCTCCGCGGCAACGGGACGAATGTCATTTTCGATTTTGGTATTGAAGTCGGTGGCATCGCTTCTATCTCATACACCAGTAACGGGACCGGTGCTATCGGCCTCGCGTTTTCCGAAGCGTCAACCTGGGTAGGTGAATGGTCTGATGCATCGAACGGGAAGTTTGCTGGCCGTGATGGTGCGTTGTATGTCAACATTAGCTCTGCCGGTCCACGGACATACACGATGCCAGATGAGGTGATGCGTGGAGGCTTTCGATATATGACGGCTTTCCTTATCACGGAAAGCGGTACCTACGTCAACGTCACGGACGTGCAGCTTGAGATAAGCTTTCAGCCTACGTGGTCAAACCTAGAGGCTTACCAAGGGTTCTTCGATTCCAACGACGAATTGCTGAACAGGATTTGGTATGCAGGCGCATATACACTTCAAACTAACGCCGTACCCACCAACACGGGACGCTGGGTCCCCATGCTCGCGAACGGGTGGGCCAACAACGGCACTCTGGGTCCAGGCGATACCATCATCGTTGATGGAGCGAAACGAGACCGTGCCGTATGGCCAGGAGACATGGGCATTGCGGTTCCCTCCACCTTCGTCAGTACCGGAGATCTCGACAGCGTCAAAAACGCACTGCAAGTCATGTTCGACTACCAGAATCCGGATGGTTCATTCCCTGAAGCTGGCCCGCCGCTTTTACAGCAAAACAGCGATACGTATCATATGTGGACAATGATCGGTACCTACAACTACATGCTATACACGGACGACGCAGCCTTTGTGCAGAGGAACTGGGCCAAGTACCAGAAAGCTATGGAGTACATATACGCCAAAGTCCAAGTCGAGACATCTGGTCTCCTCAATCAAACCGGCACCAGGGACTGGGCGCGCTGGCAGACTGGATTCAACAACACGGAAGCAAATGTCATTCTATACCACACTCTGCAAACCGGTGCTAAACTCGCTACATGGCTCAACGAAAGCAGTTCCAACAATTCAGCAGCAACTTGGACATCACGCGCCACCGCCCTTCAAACAACCATTCTCACCCACTGTTTCGACTTCACCTACGGCGCCTTCCGCGACAACGCCACACTCACCACCCTCCACCCCCAAGACGCAAACAGCATGGCCATCCTCTTCGACCTCATCCCACCTTCCTCCCAAACCGCCCAAGACATCTCCACAGCGCTCACAAAGAACTGGACGCCCATCGGCGCCGAAGCCCCCGAACTCCCCGGCAACATATCCCCCTTCATCTCCAGCTTCGAAATCCAAGCCCATTTCACCCTCGTCATCCCAACAGGTACAACTCGTGCCCTCGAACTCATACGCCGAAGTTAGGGCTGGTATGCGAACCATCGTAACGGTACTGGCTCGACGGTTATAGAAGGGTATAGAACGAATGGGACATTTGGGTACAGACAGGAGAGGGGGTATGGGTTTGATCCGAGTTATGTGAGTCATGCTCATGGGTGGAGCTCGGGGCCTACGTCTGCGCTGACGGAGTTTGTGGTCGGGTTGAGGGTGGTTGAACCGGCGGGGAGGAAGTGGGTTGTTGAGCCTAGGTTTGGGGATTTGATGAGGGCGCAGGCGGGCTTTGTGACGGGGCTGGGGAAGTTTAGGGTGGGCTGGGAGAAGGAGAAGGGTGGAGTTGGGTACGGAGTGGTGGTTGAGACGCCGGTGGGGACAAAAGGTGTAGTGAGGCTCCCGGTAGATGGGCTGGGTGGGAATGCGACGGTTGTAGTTGATGGGAGAGTTTTGAGCAAGGAGCAGTATCGGGAAGAAGATGGACGTGTGGTGTTCGATCTCGAAGGAGGAGTATACAACATACGGGTCGGCACGTAGGGTTGGGCCTGGTAGGGCTAGGTGGTGATTGAATTTATTCAGATGTCATCCTTAATCCACTTCCAGCAACTGGTATCGCCCGCCATGCTTGTCTAACGCATCTTCCACTCTCTCCATGATAGCGAGAACCTTCTCTTCTTCGAGTCTCCTTCCGACAACTTGTACAGCCACAGGCAGACCAGCCATCTTCTCCGCATCGTAGAGTTTGTATGCGCCTTGTGCGACCCCGTTCAGTTTCTTGATGTTGAAGTCGGATGGCAGAGCGTCTTTGGCAGGATCGACGTGCGTTACGGGGATGATTCCAGAGGAGTAGTCGAGCTTCATATAGTTAGCGAGGGCACAGTAGTGTTGAAAAAAAAAGACTTACCAGATTGAACATGAAAGTGTAACCGCAGCTGCTTACTGCATCATGCATACCGCCATGAGGTACCGCAGGAGTCGCATTGGGTGGAGTAAGCATGACATCCATGTTGGCCTCCTCAGACCACCACTGGTAGAAGTTCTGCTTGTACGCCTCGCGCTTGCCAGCGAGCTGCCAGTACTCGTGTGCAGACTTTGGGTGCCAGTCGCGTAGCAAGCCAGCCCAGATGTCGTCGCCTTTGACGTACTTGACGTACAGGTAGTGCGCGTACTTGATGAACTTGGGCAGGCGCATGTAGTAGACCAGTTGCGCCGCACCCAGATCATTCCACTCTCCAGTACGGAAATGACCCATGAATGTGTTACCGCCGTCGCTGAGAAGAAGTTGTGATGCGAGCTTTAGAGCTTCGTACGGCGACGGAGGCTCGACGTCGAAGACTTCGTGGCCTTCAGCCTTGAGTGCTTCGACGGTTTGGTCCAGAGCGCGCGCACATGCTGGCGAAGGATCTGCGACGTGATCGGTTCGCATGACGCCTATGCGGAGCTTTGGCTTCTCCCTAAACTCTGTCTCGATATCCTCTCTCCATTCCAGAGGATGGACAGTGTAGTCGTATTTCCAGGGCTTCATCTGGATGAAGCTTCGCGTGAAATAGGTCAAATCGTTCAACGTGCGCGCCATGGGACTGAAGACGGAAGGTATAGCCTCCTGGCCCGACATGCTAGTGTTCATGCCGACTTTCGGCCACCGACCCGTCGAGCATCGTATCGAGTAGCAGCCGGAGAAGTGGGCGGGAGCGCGGACCGAGCCAGCGACGTCTGATCCGATGCCAATGCGACTACCACCGAAAGCCAACAGTGCCGACTCTCCACCCGTTGAGCCACCTGGCGAGTATTTGTCGTTGTGAGGGTTCTTGCATTGGCCCCAGACGTCGTTGGTGGATTCGAAGGATAGGAGCGTGGTAGGGAGGTTGGTCTTGACGAACGGCACGGCACCAGCATCCTTCAGTATCTTGACCATAACTCCATCTTCCGTCGCAGGCTTCCCGGTATTCCTTGAGTATCCGACAGAGATGTCAAAGCCCTTGACTTGTATTGAGTCCTTCAATGACACGGGGATACCGGCAAGCGGCCCCTTCAGATTGACCTCCTTCTCCGCCCATTCTTCGGCTTCTGGGAACAGTATCTCCGTCACGCAATTCGTCTTCTCCTGCGCCTTTATCGCGACTTTGCCGTACGCGCGCAGGATATCGACTGGGCTGGTAATTTGCTTGTGGACATCTTGGACGAGCTCCTGGATGGGTTTGCCGAGGATAGAGCGGTCTTGTGAGGACAGAGCGGACAGGTACGGCGTGGGGAGTGTCGCGATCTTGGAGGCGCGTTCCGACTGCTTGCGCTTGCTGGTGGGGGAGAGTCAGCTTGTGGCATTGGCCGAGGTGTGGGGTGTTGGAAGCTTGGGGCAGCTCACCAGTCGGCCTTGTGTTGTCTGTACTCCGAGAGACCCATCTTAAGGTTGCAATTAGGAAGAAGATAAAATGACCATAGAAGAAAGCTTCAGAAGAAGCTGCAAGGCCCTCGGGAACGGTTATCAGTCACATGTCGCGTGAGAGCCGCGAGTATGCGTCTGGCTATCTGGGAGCTGTGTCGCCTGGACCTGCCGCATTCGAGCTGACCCGGGCTGGATGCGGGGAGCTCCTATCGTCTTCCCTTTCCAACATCAGAGGCACAACCCCCATCTTCGGTGCTCGTACGCGACTTCTCGCGAAATCCTGACTATGAGATGGTCTTGATCGACTTGCACATATGCAGCATCGCGTAATTCGATCATGGGCACGGCGAGCGCTGTACTAAACCGTCCAACAGCCGTCCGGCACAACTCTTCAGCCTGGACGCCTCACTCCCAAAGTCTCCATTTCTTAACGCTCTTGACGCGGGCACCCGTCTGAATCGCGCGTAAAGATCAGCTAACCAATGCTTACGAGATACCACCAATCCGCCAGCAGAGCATTGACGCATATCGTCGCGTTGTCCTCTCATCAGCGTACGCGTTTCTTCAGCAACGCCATCACCAAAGCACAGAACCATTCCTTCAAACATTGTTTCCACCATTCTCGCATCTGATTGAGCCTCAACACTTTCCCAGCATAGCTCCCGCGCGCGAGGTAGGGCGGGAGGTCGATGTGGGACCGCGGAAGCTTGAACAACACCCGCAACAACACCTCTCACCCAGTCGATCTAGACGTCAAACTGTGGCTCCACATGCTTCAGGTACCGCGCAGATTCTACACACCTGAATGGCTTCCCCAGACTTGACGTTTAGGCTCGTCATGCTGTAAGCGCCTACGTGTATCAGTGCGGCAGCTCGGGCCATTTTATGATATACCGCCGCTTCGCGCTCTCATTGGCTCCTCCAGCGACTACTCGAGATGCCATGAAACGACTGTGGTCCAGACACACCATGAGCAAGAATAGCAGCAATCTTGACTATGCCCTTTGCGATCTGTTGTTGAGATCGCAACCAACTCTTCGTTGTATAAGATGTGCTGGACGCAACGTCGTAATAACTCATCACACACATCATCAACCAGCTCATCACAACTCACTTCCTTTTCGTCTTTTTTTCTCTGTTTCCTTATTTCCTTGTTTCCTATCTGGGTCTCATTCATTCTCCATTTTCTACGAAATTACTCTCTCTTCTGCTGTGCAGACCGCTATCCATTCCTTGCTGCTTTAATCGCCTCGTCTGTCTACTTCGACATCACATCCTCAGCCTCATTCGCTTTTCGATAACCAACTTCAACCCGCCAATATGCCTGTCCCCAGCTACAACGCCATGCCTTTGAGCAAGATGTTCCTTGGCGCCCGTGTTCTCCAGGCTATCTGCATGATCTTGGTCATTGGCATCTGCTCCAACTTCATCCAGATGATTGTCACAACTGGTGTTGAGCCACCCAAAGAGTTCGTCGGTACTCTGAGCGTGGTATGTACTTTCCTCTACCATCACCGAATACTTCTAACATCGCTAGACATGCATCGCTGCTCTCTACATCATGGTCAGCGTAGGCTACTACTGGTCGCAAGCCAACCTCGGCCTCCTCGTCATGACCGGTGTCGACTCTCTCCTTCTCATCGCCTTCATCGTCTGCGCAGTCACTCTCGGAAAGCCCATGTCGTTCCTTAACTGCTACGTCATCGGCAAGTCATCCGCAGAGATCGATGCTCAATACGCCAACGCCTTTGTCACTGCGACAGTTGAGAACCTCAACAAGTCCACTTCCAGCTTGGGCCACTGGGCCGGTGTCACACGCAGCAACTGCTTCCAGGCCAAGACTGTCTGGGGTATGGCTATCGCTCTCTGGTAAGTTCTCATGCAACAAACTGTACCTGATACTCTGCTAACACGACTCAGCGTACTCTTCACCGTCTCATGCGCTCTTCTCCCCACTCTCTGGTACAAGAACAACATGAAGAAGCCCGCCAAGACCGTCGAGGACGCCTAAACGCGAGGATGCTCACTGTCGAATATGTCGAGCCAACGCGACGACTCAGCAAAAAAAGGAATGTTCTGTCAAGAGCGATCTCTGCCAGTATTCCACCTCCTCTACCTACCTACACTCATGTCTTTCCTTATCTTTTCTGTCAAACCTATAAAAATAGTCTGCATTGCGAGGGAGTTTGGAGTTGTCTTGTCTTGTTTCTGTCTTCTTCTTCAGACATTGAATGTCTATAATCCTAATGGATAGTTTTGGGCCTAGTTGCCTGTATCAAATCAATTACAATGACTTTTGTATCACATGCTTATCTTTCCTTAACGTGCTATCCTACTCAGTCATTTCTGTCGCTGTTGCTTCCATCACTGGCAGCCTAGTCGGTTGCTCATCGCTGTCGTCATGTAACACGCATTTCTTTGTTCGATTTACGCACTGTTGCCAACGTCCTACATCACTGACGTCTGCACGCTCCACCTTTTGGCAGTGCTTGATCATGTGGTTCCAAGACGCAAGGACTACTCTGTGGGTTTGGTAGCGCTCCTCAGTAAGATCTCCTGAGTAGACGCCACCTTGCGGCAAATTGCACCTGCGCTTAATGCCCACAATCTTGCAATCGACTACCCCAGCGATGCGAGGTCCGTGGAAAGCTCAAGCACGAGAATGCCAGCTTGAACTCCAGGCCAGTGCTTCGATGTAACACTCGACTCATCGATATCTCCAGCTGTTATGATGGACTCAGATATGACACGCAAAGCTCTATGGAGTCATTCGTACACATCATCGCTTTCGAAAGTATAAAAGCTAGAGGATGAGCGCTCTTTTCTTCTTCCCCTACCAACAAGCTGTCAAACCCTTGAAGTTGTATCAGTACATTTTGTTCTCACCTACGCCTTCAAAGACAAGAACAAACTGCTGCCCGAACAAACGAGCGAAAAGCCCGAATTTCTCGTCAAGACCAAGATCCACGATCTAAAACATATCCCACAATGTGTATCGGCAATTACCACGTCTGCAACAACTTTCAGCCAGTGTCTGGAAGCTCCCGAAAGCTTTGCTTCAATCCAACCGAACCCCGTTCGTTCCACCCGACGGAGCCATGTTGGTCTTCGAAAAACAGATTCAACAATCACAGTCGCAATTACGTTCCAGATGGCTGGGAGTATGATAATTATGGTCTTTGCGATGATAAACAGAGGGAGTTCGGTGAGCCGGAGCCGGAATTCTTTAAATTCTATGGCACACCTCGACCTACAGGGCGACTTTGCCCTGACTGTCAAGCGGAAGCCGACGCAGCGGCGTCCAAGAAGAATGGAGGAGTGAAGAAGGAAGAAGATGAGGATGGCGATCAGAAAGGTGGTTGGGGTCATTCTGCGGCTGCACCGAGTGGTATCGCACTCAAGTGATAATGATATGGAGGTCGAATTGGAAGCCTACGGGAGAGCTACAGCGGTATTACACTCATTACAAGGTATTGGTCGCATGGTCGGCTTAGACGATCATGCTCATTTATACAATCTAAGGTTTCTCTCGAACATGTTCTACTTTCCCTGTCTGCTGAGCCATATTCTAGCCACCTAGAAAGTCGTCTTGTTGTATTGATGTTTGCGAGGGCCAACAGTGTCAAAAGACGAAATCGATGAATGTGGGACGTAACTTGGAACGCAACGTACGCTGGAGAATGAGAAGGGAGCTTATTGTGTTAATTTATGACATACCTAGGTAAGGTCAAATGAGCCAACAACGTCACTGATGTCACAGCATACAGTGTATGTCTTTCCTACCCACCATTTGAATGGGCAGCAGGTCTTCGACAGCGGTATTGCGGTGATTGAAGGTCATGCAAAATATCCGGTGGGACCGAGAACCGTACCCAGGCGATCCTGGACATGCCAGTCTGACAGTCATCACGTCAGACCAAACCCAGTGTATCTTGAATGCATAATCCTAGAAACCCCAGGGGACATGGGAACAACAGCCAAGTATATACCATGGAGATCTAGACTTGTCCGACGGAGATGCATACTTCCACCCCTTGCAAACCGATAGAAATCTCTGCAATCGCATTCGTTCTCGCAAGTCTCGAAATTACTGCATCGGGAAACGCCCGCAGGAGGCGTCCATCGTGTATCGGCGTTCAGCGAACAGGCGGAGGTGGTAAAAAGGAAAATTTGATGCCATCCCATCTGCACGGTTACCAAAGCTCCCTGTCCGCGGCTGACTCGCGCGTTCATTGGCTGTCGCATGCAGCAAGCCTCACCAACGAGCTTCAGAGCATCGCGACTTCACGACGTGCGCGAAGGTGAATGATGACCGTAAGATCCAATGCAGATCGCCTGGATGAGCGCATAGCCTCTGAAATGGCTCACACGTGGTGTGTATACTGCGTAATGGAATCCTAAAAGCCGAGCATTTGGTGATCACGCGCGAACCAGCGCGTCGGATTGTCAGCGCCTTCATGCACCCGGCTGCAGGCCAGTTAGTCCCCGCTTTACGCCATTCGACGCCGTGCTTGTGTATATAGAACCCTGATTCCCATCTTTTTCCAATGCCACGGGATATCCAACCGCGGATTTTGAGATCGTGGTTCTTGTTGAGGTAGTTTGGTTGGCCAATTGCTTCTCTGAGGGACCTGAGCTCCATTGGTACGACGTCATACCCGGATAATCTTTGAACGCGAGCCGAGAATTTCAAGACTGCGACTTTTGCCATTTTCTCAAGACGACTTATTCATATTTTTGAAAGAGGGGGAAATACTAGCCCAAAATGTCGCTCACGCAACGAGTGACATCGATGGAGGAGCATGAGCCGTGGAGTAGAGAGGCGAGCCCGGACTCCAGGCACCGGAAGATGAGCTTCAATCCAGTCGGCACCTGGACCGAACAAACAGGCGAAGAGCCAACGATAGGCGCGTTCGAAGTACCTAGGTGGAAAAGACTGCGTATGTATCATGGAACACAGCATGGGCGCACACGAGCTAATATCGCGTAGTCCAGGTCTTCTTCGCCGTTATCTACTGCCTCTTCGCCGCCGGTGTCGTCTTCGGTTACGCCGCGATAAAACCCGTACTCCTCGAGGAAGGTGTCTACAGAGACTACTGCACACAAGAAGAGCTGGATCAAGATGTACACGTCTGCTACGAACAGGAGCTCCGGCTCAACCTTATGTTCACGATCGCTGCCGTCTCCACGAACGTCGTCGCGCTTCCCGTCGGTACAATCCTCGATCGCTTCGGACCACGCGTATGCGGAATAACTGGTGCGATATCCATAACAATTGGCGCATTGCTGTTCGCATTCGCAAAGGAATTGGCTTTCGACGCGTTCATCCCTGGATACTTGTTTATGGCGCTGGGTGGACCATTTATCTTCATCTCGTCGTTCCAGCTTAGCAACACGTTTCCGCAATACTCTGGGCTTATATTGGCGCTTTTGACTGGAGCTTTCGATACCTCGAGCGCGATCTTCTTGATGTACCGACTCATCTACCAGGGCACCGATGGCAACTTTTCGATCAAGAAGTTCTTCCTTATCTACCTTATCGTCCCGGCTTTTATCCTCGCAGTTCAGATCCTCTTCATGCCATCGGTATCGTACAAGACAGTTGGTGAGCTAGTCACTAGCGCGGAGGAAGAGCAGGTCATCCACGACTCAGACGACGAGATTGAAGACGCAGCAACTGTTCGGAGCCTTCAGGATGCGCGACGAGCGCATCGCGACAGCATTGTTAGCGAAATTACGTCTTTGCTTGGCACGAAAGATGGCCAGAAGCAGGCGCAAGAGGAAGACAAGAAGAAGAACATTTCAGGTGTATGGGGTGCGCTACACGGTCGCACCGCCAGCCAGCAGATTCGCACTCCCTGGTTCATCCTCATAACGCTGTTCACAGTGCTACAAATGACGCGTATCAACTACTTCGTTGCCACCATTCGGACGCAATACACGTACCTTTTCCATGACTACGAGAAGGCAGTCGAGATCAACAACTTCTTCGATGTCGCGCTTCCAGTTGGCGGAGTTTTGTCTGTACCTTTCATCGGTCTACTTCTGGACAACACAAGCACTACTTTTACGATGGCGCTGCTCGTCACTGTGGCTACCACAATTGGTGTGCTAGGCGTGATTCCGGAGACATGGGCTGCATACGCCAATATCATTCTCTTCGTGCTTTACCGACCCTTGTACTACACTGCAGTTTCGTAAGTTGTCCAATCCTCCGCTCTCAAGCTCCTTGCTAATACTACTACCAGCGACTACTCCGCCAAAGTCTTCGGTTTCGCCACTTTCGGAAAAGTATACGGCCTCATCATCTGTCTCGCCGGTGTCCTCAACTTCTCACAATCTGCTCTCGATGCCGCCACACACAAAACCTTCAAGAACGACCCTGTGCCTATCAACGTCATCTTGCTTAGCTTGGCGCTGCTCGTCGGTCTAGCCCTTGTGGCGTTTGTATGGCGAAAGAGCCATAGAATTCAAAGGGAGAACATCGAAGAGGAGGCTGAGGAAGCAAGAGAGTCGCTTATGCCAGATGCTAGTGGAAGTCAAGGAGCGAATGGCTATGGGTCGATGAATGGAAGTGGGACTGTCAGTCCTAGTGAAGACAACAGGGGGAGACGGCTGTGAGTATGAAGTATGTGACTCGGCTGCAGAGCAGTGTGCTTAGCGCAGGGATATGGGGGATGTTTGCCTTAGTTCGCATTGGGAGTTCAGCATGGCGAGGCGTTTGGTGGCGTTTTCAAAATGACAGTAACTGAGGAGGTCATGGATGCGTTGGCTCAAAGGTGTCTGTGTGGTCAGAAAGTGGTTCCAAGATGATAGATATTTTGGACCTACTTTTTGACTACACAAACACCTTTGAGAACCTAAGCAAATCATGGGAACGCTTGCATGACGAAAGACCCAATCACTACAGTTCTCTTTGCTATATCAGCCGCTTTGCGCTATCCCACGTGCGTCACACTCGGCTTCGTACGCAGCCAATTGCTCCATCTTCTTTTCAGCAATTAAACTCATCTCCTTTTCCAAGTCCCCGCTAAGCTTCTCATCTCCCGGTTCATGAAGGGCACTCCAGTATACCACGTCAACACTCCAGCCTTTCCTGATTCCGTAGTTGAACCAAAACCTCTTTGACGTCCAAGAGTCTCGCATACGACTAGTCAGAGAGAACGCTTCTCTCCCATGACTTGCATTTTTCTTCGCCTCAGCCTTCGCCATGGCTCGGAGGAACTGTTCTAAACGTGGTACGTATAACTCTTCAAAGTCCTCCATGGCGAATTTCTCAAGCATGAGGCCAGGACTGACCATGGCGAGCCACCATGGTGGGTCATAAGCGAATTGAGCAGGCATGGTATTAACATACTCAAAATCCAGAACCGCTACGATCTTCAGTGATCCTTCCTCGTACCTAGCGAGCATGTTCTTGGGACGGAAGTCATGGCAATACGGTATGAAAGGGCCGTTGTCGGCTTCCGATGGAGAGTAGAATCGCTCAATCAATTGTTTGAATCTGTGGCGTGCGATGAAGCATTTTTCCGCATCCTGAGCACTATGCGCAAGGTTCCGCTGAACTTGGAGATGAACCAAATTCTCGTCTGCACGGTAGTGAAGGAAGGCTTGGGCGCTGGTGAACGCGGCTTTAGGAAACTGATCTACTGGATAGTTTGTAACGACAGAAGCTAAGTTGTTCATGTTTGTGGTGAGAGGGCGGTCAGTCACCGTCCATGCGCCCGAAGTATCCTTGTTGATAGGTCCAATTGCCGAAAAGTGCAGTCGGGAGACCTGCAGCATGTAGTCGGCTATCTGCTCGTAAACAAGATCGACTTCTGCTTCGTTATTGTCGTCTTGAAGCTGTCGCAAGATTGTCTCCAGCTCTGAGCCCTCGATATAGTCCATGATAATATATGGACCAAGCTGGGACGGACTGTCTTTAGTCATGCCCCAGTCGCGTATCTTGGGAACAGGTATGGCAGTCTTTTCAGCCAGATACTCTAGAAACCGAACTTCATTCTTGACCTTTTCCTCGAGAAATCTAGCAGCAGTTATTCCTCGCTTCGGGAAACGTACGATGACGATGTCTTCTTCGCCGAATCTTATGACAAGATTGACATTGTATGAACCTTGGAGATATCGGACGAATTCTCCCGGAACATTGGTCCTCAGCTTCTGACCTACAAAAGCGACTATCTCTTCGTTCGCGGCTTTTACTTTAGCAGCCCAAGCCTCGAGCTCAGCATTCCCAGCCTCCTCCGCGATTTTGTCAAATTCGGTCTTCATCACGATCAACACTTCTGTACGCGGTGTATGTCTGCAATATCAAAGTACGCTCTTTGGAAGGCAGCTGTAGATAAGATGCAAGAGTCGAGGGTAATGCGAGGGTTTGAGTGTAGAGTAGGCAGCAGTTTCGTGTCGATGGCTGGTGTCAAATAAGCGCTAGCCTGATTTCAGTCTAGTGTTGTCGCGTCAGGATGTCGCGTCACGGCGTGGCAGTCGCCAGCCATTGCGAACACCTACCATCCTCACACCTCACGAAGAATATTATGCGCCCGAAACCTAGAATTTCTCCAATGAGACCTGAAGCGTTCTTGGGCCCCTACATCTTCATTCATCACAAGCGCTGTCGGCGGGCGTGACGGGTTACAACAAGTGTTTGGCATTATTAGCTACATTGAACGACCAACACATTCCATGCCGTTCTAATACGACCAAGAAAGCATACAACATTCGTTCTCTCTCCGGAACCTGTGGCCCTACTTCCACGTGCTAGCAACGGTGGCCGCGCTCGAGCACCCCTTCGGCACGGTATACACGCGGTTAGCACCTGACTCGTAGGTCACCGTACCACTGCTCTCGACCTTGATGAACTTGTATTCGAAGCTGACACCAGCCGGAAGGTTGATTTTTGTCGACCAAAGCGGGTTTGCGGTGGTGTATTGGCTCGCAAATAGCGCAGGCGCAGACGCTGCGTTCCAGCTGCCGAGCTGGGCAATCGAACCAACGATCTTGACTGTCTGGCCGAACGATGTTGTGGTCTTCGAGTTGAACGTCACAGCTACTGTGGATACAGGCGATGCGCAGCCAGTGGGTGCCGCCGTCGAGGTTGAAGTTGCTTTCGTGGAAGACGCGGGAGCCTTGCTCGAAGCTGGTGGAGTTGCGCCGCCTGAGCCACTACCAGTAATCTTGATGTCTGCGCAAGTCAGGTAAACCTGCGGTGTTTGGAACGAGTTCCACTTGAACGACAGCAGCGTGTGGTTGCTTGAGTAGTTGGGGATCTTGATCTTCGAGCTGACTGTGTATCCGCCTGCGATGCTGGTGTAGCACGAATTGAGTGGTGCGTTGTCGACGCTCCTGCATTTGGAGCCATCGTTGAAGCCACCGCCTTCTTAGTGTCAGTATTGAGTTACTATTAAGATTTCCTGAGATATACTCACATGTGAACCAGTCGTTCCTCCAGCAAGGCTGACCCTCCTGACAGTCAGAGTTGTAACCGCAGGTCTGCCCAGCAACATCAGTGCACTTCAGCTCACCAGCCTCGAAGCAGTCTTCAGCAGCCTGCTTCTCCGCCTCTGTAGGAAGGTAACCCGGTGTCAGAAGTTTGTCGACGAGAGCCTGATTCTGGCAGATGCGGTAGCTGAACATGCCGCCATGGTCACCATTGGCATCGAGGCACCATTGTACATCGACGACATCGCCGGACTTGTAGGTGATGACGGGTTGCGAACCCCAGCGGGGACCGGGCTGATTGTAATCGACGGACACGCGGGCATTGTATCCGCAAGGACCTGAGCGACCCACCGCTGCGGCGTCAAGGTCAGGCCATGCTGTAACAGGTTCGAGGATGGTACATTCCGGGCATGTATCAGCGCCAGACTAGAAGACGTTAGCGACGGCTCGAGATGTATCTCCGATGTCTCCGAATGGACGTCATTACTTACTTGAGCATTCAGACCAGTCCTGCTCATAGGAGAAGAGAGATAGCCATGTGCATTTGCACTGGCCACAAGAGCGAGAAGAGATGCAATCTTGGAGAACATGGTCGACAGATTCGTCGTCTCGAATGGTCTTGGGGAGAAAGAAGTAGTAGAGGTCGACTCTTGAGCGATGGACTGGCTTAGTGAAGGGCATTTGCAAGTTCATCTTTCCTGGCTATATACATGTCTGTCCTTCAGTATCGCATGATCAGCAGATCTTCGATGGCCTCCCTGGACGCGAAGATCTCTTGTTCTCGGTTGTAGGTAGTCTCCCGGCATGCACATAGTTTTGGCTTCTATCGAACTTCATTGGGTTGAAGTCGGCTTGTAGGTACCCTGGAGCGCTTGACTGACCACATGGACAGGCCCTAAGAAACACAACGATGTCCGCTTAATTGCTTCCACGAGTTTCGCGAGCCGCATAGCATTAGCACGTCCGGCACACACCCATGTACACCCCAAGTACCGTACCCCAGATTCGTGGAACATTGTCCGTCAGATGCATCGACCCGATCCGGGCACCAATCACTATAGTGCGTCCGTCTCTTACACCAACTATTACTGAACAACGTAAAGCGCTTCGGTCGCTTTCCGCATCCATCGTAGTCCTCAAAATCGTCGACTCAGCCATTGGCTCGCTGTCGGGACGAGCGCAATCGTGCTAACCTACCTAGGTAGTTACGATAACTAGTGTAACAGAGCGGTCATGGGGGACTTCAGAGCGCTTCCCGGCCCGCACCTTAAATTTGAACAGCACGTTTGATTAAAGCTGGGATGCGGGGGATTGAATTCTAGACAGTGAAGCTAACGAAGAGCCGAGTTGTATCGGCTGCATCATCCTCCATGTCGCGAAGCATCCACGTAGATTCGCAAGAATACGCTTCGGGCTGGTACTTGTTCGAAGCCCGACTGACAATCCGCCGAAGCATACCCTATGCATCTCAAATTCCACGTGCCTCACACTCTGCGTTATATGCATCCAATTGCTCCATTTTCATCTCCACAAATGTTTCCATCTCGGCCTTCAAAGCATCATCCAGGACCTCGTCACCCGGTTTATGTAGCGCAGCCCAATACACAGCATCAATACTCCAGCTATCTTGCATCGCGGCATTGAACCAGAATCTGTTGGAAGTCCACGAATCGCGCATGCGAGCGGACAGTGGTACTACAGTTCCACCCATCTCTTTCTCTTTCTTCTCCATAACCTGCAGAAACTGCTCGATGTGGGGCTCAAGTCTGTCTTTTAGGGCACCAAAATGGAAGTCATTGTCGATCCATGTGGTTGGTCGCAAGATAGTAAGCCACCACGGTGGGTCATGGGCGAATTGCGCGGGCAGCGCGTTACAGAATTCGAAGTCTAGAACGGCTTTGACGTTCATATCGTCGTCCACGAGCATATTAGATGGGCGAAAGTCCCAGCAGTATAACTTGAAAGGGCTCGTCTCGGTGTCGGTAGACAGGTATTGGTCGATAGATTGTTTTAGGCGATGGCGAGCGATGAAACATCTTCTAGCATCTTCACGGTTCTCCACGGCGTTTCGTTGGGTGTGAAGATGAGCTAGGTGCTGATCGGCAAGCTGCTCAAAGTAGGCCTTTGGAGATGAGATGCTTGTAGTGGAGAAGTGTTCGGTTGGGTAGTTCAGAATGTTCCTTGCTAAAACGTTCATGTTATCGGTGACAGGTCGCTCGCTAGCTACCCACTCATCTGGACTGCTCCTTCTTATAGCACCTGCAGTACTGAAATCCAGCTGATGTATTTGCAACATAAAGTCACATATTTGGCTGTAGGCATGAATAACTCTTGGGTTGCCCAAGTCTCTCCAGAGCTCCATCTCGACACCGTCATCGGTCTTTGTGGGTCGTCGTAACTCCTTGATCAATGGTATGCCTTCAACATACTCCATTATAATATACGGGCCAAGCTGTGATGGGCTATCGCTAGTCAGACCCCAGTTGTATACTTTCGGTAGCGGGATCGTGGTCCTGCGTAGTAAGTCCATGACTTGGACTTCGTTTCGAACTTTCTCATCTAAGAAACGTGCAGCAGTTGTCCCCGGCTGTGGAAAGCGTATCAGATATGTAGGCTTTGTGTTGAGCTTGATGACTAGGCAGACGTTGTAGGACCCTTCAAGGTAGCCACCGAACTCTCCAGCGACACAACTTCCCACTCGCTTGATGACGAAGTCAACAATCTCTTTCTGCGCTGCGTCAAGTCTGTTCTTCCACGTCTCATGTATCAGCTCTTCATCTTGCTGGGCTAGTTCGTCGTACAACATCATATTTGCGGATGGGGTAGTTGCAAATAAGGCGAGAAAGATATGGCTTTGACATATGCTTGTGTAAATGGTGCTGTAGCTTGGGCTTTAAATAGGGTAGGAGTCTGTACAGAAGTTCGAGACCTTAGATCGGGCCGACTCGGACACGTCCAAAAGCTAATCTTCTCCAGACATAGCGTACTCCTGGATCATGCAACATTGCGGCACGGTAGACGCTACTGGCATTACAGTCACATCTTGACGCAACATGGAGTCACCAGACTTCTCCATCAGCGTCGGTAACTTGTTAATATCACTTCAAAATAGCTATCACTTGTCTTGAAAATTGCACTGTATTGTTCGCATTAGGTAAAAAGAAAAACACTTCGTCAGAAACAATAGAACAAGAAATAATTTGATCACACGGTAACGACATACTTTAAATCGAGGAGACTAAGTGAGATAAACGGTCATAACCGTTATGCAGGGCTCACGATCCAGCTCGCTGACTGAATGACAGGAGAAGCCAACCCGGAGAAGTCTTACCGGGGCAGTCTCTGATCAATCCTCACTGGGCTACTCGATGTTTGAGCATTTTAGAGTTATCCAACAACGAAAGACAAGTCATAGCTAGCTATTGTTGGTACTCAAACTTGCAATCATTGTAGCGAGTACCCGGGCAATGATGAGTGGGTAGACTGCCGCACTGTCACCACGCTGTCATATCCAACACTTTCCCGCTCCGAGAGTAACGCCGAAGTGGCCACAGACACGCCAACGGCTCAGACATGCTGTGTCAATTACCAAAAGCTGAAGTCTAACGCCCGAACGCTCGGTTATGTACAGATTTCAGCGCTCAGATTGTCTCTTAGCAAAACCCCGGGTGGATTCGAGGTAATAGAATGCACAATGAAGTAAAACAGCACTTGACTATCGGTAAGCGTATAGACCGGGACTATAACCTACCTATGCGCCGATGAGAAGCTGAATCGTTAGATTGTGAAGCAGAGAATGCCTCGACGGTGACTTGATGAGCATATTCCCTGTG